GTGTATTTAAAATTGAGAGGTGGGCAACGACGCCAGGGGTGAGGTGTACACCCTGATGGTAATTTGGACTCCGTGATTGTGCCCACCCCCAAGATCCTATATGTATGTGTAATGAGAGTGTGAATAATGTGAATAATGTGAATGTCTAAGTTTGCCTTCAAAATAAAAGTTGTTTGTCAGAACTGCAGCCACTATATTTAAAAAAGGGGTAACTTTTACTTAGAAGGGGACCCTATTTTCCATTTTGTGTCTGTTCCACGATTGGTTGAAGAATACCTGGACAGTATTTGCGGACAAGTCTCTCATTTCCATTTAAATTGTGGGTATTATGCAGATATTTTTGCCAAACATGTGGGGAATACTCATTTTCCCTCACAACAGATGATTGCCATAGAATAGTTTCTAGGTCTGTGTGACTTGGGTCTCATTCACTTGATCCTGGATTGTCACACATCCAAAATGACGGAGAAGCGGTTTGTACATGCATACACAGGGGACACATCATCAGTGATGTTTCCTGAGGTCATGAAGTGAGGACCCATCCTTTTGATCCAAATCTACCTGCAGGCTCTTTCTGCGGCTTCAGTGGCAGAAGTGATGGCCTACCACTTTGTTTGTTCTCAAGCTGCTCCACTGGCACTGATTTACATGTTCTTGGTACTTTAGAGAGGTCTATAGTGTCTTGCTAGGGTCTTGCTAATGACCTACCAATTTTATTGAGGTGCGTTGCAGCAGGGACACGTGGAAAAGTTTCAGGATACTGGCTCTCGAGGACTGGAGTTCATCCCCTATGGTCAAGAGTTTAACTGAGGCTTCTCTCCAGCCCTAACAAAGGAGATTTTCCTTTGGCTGCAGATCTGCACTGAAAATGCATTTACCACACACTTCAGCAACTGGTCCTGGCATTGGCCAGAGGCAGTGGCCCTCCTAAAAGGCTTTTTAGGATATTCTCCTTTGGGCATAGAAGACATGTTGGTGCTCACTCTTGTCACAGATGTGCAGATTTGCTGGACTGGGTAGCACATCATATGCAGCTTGGCACATGAAATGAATGTGCTGAAGTGCCAGCTATCATCTCAGCTTCTTGCTCTTTCTCATTTTGTCCATGCCACTCTGCTCCTGCATGCTTACCATCCTGCTGGTCCTGAACTCCTCCTGACCTAGATGGTTTTGTCCTTAATAAGGAAGAAAAGAAATTAAAAACAAAACAAACCCAATATGTCCGAAACCATGGCATAAACAGAAACAATGCCACTGAATAAAAAAGAATAAAGAGACCTTTAGGAAACAACAGAACAGATGATTGTCAGTTAAAGGTCCTTAACTATCAAAGGAATGTAGCAGTAAGCTCTGATCCTGGCTTAAAAACCTGTTCAGGGTATTGTGCCAGCAGGGAATCTATTGAATCAAATTTGATAATTATGTTATTGTATTTCAATAAGGAGAAATCACTTGGAAGAATTGAACATGTTCTATTGAGATAGAGAAATGGATGTATTTGGCAATTAGGCTCTGATTACCCATCATAGCAAAACTGAATCGCAGCGATGAGAGGATTTAGAACAGGAGTCTAGATACTGGTGGTGAAGATGAAGACTGAGGTATCTGAGGTGGATATGGGAGGAAGGTGGGATGCTCGGAAGAGAGTCTGAAAGGAAGAATGACAGCGAGCACAGATTTAAACCACGAGAAGCTGATTGGCTCAAAGAAGGCGGGCGAGAAGATGATTGGATTAGAATAATGATGTCAGTATTGACAGTGTGGGAAAGCGGTAGTCATGTAAAAACAAGCAGATGAGTGATTACAGATCTTCCTTATTGAACTTATGCATGAGCTGAATTCATTTACTGCCTTGAATTAGAGCTTAAATACAATTTCAGACCTTTAGATGAAGCTCTTATGTTCAAAATTTTAATGATTATTTTTAGAACAAAGTTTTGTCACAAAGAAATTTAAAGTGAGGATTACACTATATTTTCCAGCAAGTCTTTTCCCTTAAAATAGCACAAAGTTTGCTTTGCTTTTGGTTTGGAGCTAAACAGTGCAACACAAGATTTTGGATACACCTAAAAATAAGACAACAGTATTTTTGATCCACTTATTCTGAGGTTTACTGGATTTGCAGTGGAAAACAGGAGTAATATATGTGGTTATCTAAATCACCTGTTCTAGGTGCTGAGTTTAGCCAACAACCAGCTGTCATCGCTGCCGGCTTCTCTCTCTAATCTGACCCAATTGAGGAAGCTCAACCTCAGTCACAACCTCATCACTCACATCCCGGGCTGTGTCTACAACATGAAGGCTCTGGTATGTTCATGTGGGGCTAATATCACAAATTCGAAATACTGTGTATGTTTACGTGTGCTAAACTCTGGAATAAGTAGTCTGGTTATTCAGTACAACTACCTGTAGAAGATTCAGAGAGGATTAGCTAATATGTTTAAAATCCCCAGGTGTTCCTTCACTTGGCCTTTAACCGTCTAGAGAACCTGGCAGAGAACATTCAGGCTCTGGTGGAGCTCAGAATTCTCATTGTGGAGGGAAACAGCATCCACTCATTGCCCAAGGCCCTCTGCTGCCTCACCAGGTAACCACATCACCAGGTAACCAAATCCACGTAACTCCGCCCCACTGGAGTGGCGTGTGTGTATCACATTTGTATTTGATTTGATTTCAGGTTGGAGTTACTGAATCTCGACTTTAACGACATCAAGGATGTTCCACAGGTAAACAGCTCCACTGGTGAAGGATGATGATGATGATGACACTAATCATTTTGATAGTAATGGTCATCGATATCTTCAGAGATGATGGTGATTATGATATTGATGACAACTGGTGCCCTGGCATCTCCAGTACAGGGCTCCAGTCCAGGCTTCACATTAAAGCTGTGTGATCAGCCTGCCTGTCTTTAAACCTGCTAACAGATGCTAACAGAAATTATCAATGAAAATTAGTTCAACACTTTTACCATTAATTTATTCTAACTCTAGTTTATTTCACCCTGCCCTGTGCGCATTACCCTAGAACTGTATGAAGCATGGCTACGTGAAAGGTGAGCTCACAGGCAGTCTTTCTCAGAAAAAGGAAAAAGACTCTCTGCATGTTGTGTCAACTTTTTGGTCCACTCTACTTCAACAGCAAAAGCTTTCAAGCGTGTCTCTATTAGAGATGGGCCGATCCGATATTACATCGGTATCCGTCCGATATTACATATTGGTATCGGTCCGATACTGACCTAAATTACTGGATTGGATATTGGAGAGAAACAAAAAATGTAATCTGAACCATTAAATATCAAAAAAGCACCTCACAAAACTTGCGACATGCCGTAACTCAGCTCATAACCATAGCACGTCGGAGCAGTATGCGTAACGTGATAGAGCAGCTGTGGCGTGTGAGACCTGTCTGTGGTCTGGTTGAGTATTTGGAGTCTCGCTACCAAACATGTAAACAAACATGTAAAGCATTCCCACCTTAAGCTTATCAACCGATATATGGAGCGACTGCCTCTCATTCTCTCTCGCTCTCCTGCTGCTACTTCAATCATGAAACTGATCAATGATCAGCTGATCGGCTTTTCTGTCGAGTCCGTCTCTCTTCTTTGTTTTTGGCCCACTTTGCACCAGAAAGAGGAAACCAGCATTTGAACAACAGCAGCACGTTTAAGCTTGATAAGCTGTTGATAGAATTTATTTAATATTACTTTCTCCACCAGGATCTTTTTCTACGTAGATGACAGCTGGTAACTGTGCAGGGGCGGATCTAGCAAGGTTTAGCCAGATGGATAGGTAGGGCATTAACAGGGAAAGGGGAGCACAAAGACATACTTTCCTTTCTTATTCTCATTTAAAATGTCTAGCTTTTATTAAATAATTATCTGACTCTTACACCCAAAGTTTTAATCTGATGTAAAATGAATAGAAGTCCATTACTGTATATAGTAACTGTTAAGTCTAATATACCCTAGTAAGCTATAGTACTTTT